CTCAATGCTGTGCTTTAACCCACTGCACCACCAGGGAGGGCCTACCATGGATTTTTTAATATAAATGTATAGTGAATATAATCTAGCTCTTTGTTTTTCATTTTAAAGAAGTCAATTTTTTGCATACAAGAACTGGGGTGTAAGCCAGAGGTGCTGGGTAGGTGAGAGGATTCACCAGAGAGAGTGGGTTGCTTTGAACTTTTCAGGCATACTATCAACCTATTTTTAGAGTATAGCTATCTTAATTCTTAAGTGTTTAGTACTTGGATTTTGTGCAGTGTGGCACTGGACAGCATTGAGTGAATGGGAACTTGACTTTAAATGCAAAGGAAACTGACGATTCTCTTGGGTCTTTTACTAACTACATGTAACCTTACTTAAGTGGCCTATGTGTTTCCCTCTGGGGCTGTTTCTTTGTTTTCTATCATTAGGTGGTTCTATACTTCTCTAGTGCTTCCCTCCCCTATTCTTTTCCCTTCTTTTCTTCCTTTCCTCCTACTCTGATGGAAGACATTTGATGATGATAGTGTTTATCTCTCACTCTCCCTTTGACCAAAATGAGAGAATGGCATTTTATCACATGAAACTGAACCGGTGCCTAAATAGAAGAAACTAACTGGGGCTGCAGCTTAGTTTCAGGGATGGATTATTAGAGCTGTCAGGGACCACAAATGTTGTTTTTTCTTTCTTTGTGCCTTTCTCTGGTGCTGTTAATAGGGATCTGAGATGTGGGTTTAATGTTTTAAAGTAGGAGAACGGCACGTTTAGGGATGGAGTATCAGTGACTTTATTTATTTTTTGGGGGAAAGAATTATTCATTTATGCATACAAGAGCTGGAGTGTAGGCCAGATTTGGTGGGGGAGGGAGTAGAGAGAAGATTCACCAGATACAGTGCAGGCAAATCTACTGAAATGTACTGCTGAGGGGTGTGGTGGGCTAGATAGGAGAGGTCTGCTGTGCCATGTGGGTCACCTTCTTGTCCACTGGGATGGAATTAGTGCTGCAGTGGTTACAGATAGCTTCATAGTGCTGTGTGGCTTAACCCTTGCACTACCAGGGAGGGCTCTCAGGGCATAATACTCATAATAATGGTGCGTGTTAGTTCATTAGAGATTATTTTTATATTATGTAGATTGAATATTATGTCAGATTCTTCAAGTATGTATTGATAAATATATTGCATTATACAATGGAGTTTAAACTAATATATGGTATTTTTTTTTATCTCACCTTTAACATGGCTCATAGTGCTGCCAGGAGTTTGTTTTTAGGTCTTCAGTGGAACATGGGGGCTGGTTGATTGAATTTTTTCCAACTTTGTATGGGAGTAGGCTTTAAAATAATCTGGGGTTGTGTATGTATCCAGGTTCTGTGACTTACTGTAAGCACACTACCTGTTCTGAACCATGGTTCTTCGCCTAGTAAATGATGGTGATAATTGCACGTATCCTTAAGAGTTATTGTCAAGACTAAAGAAAGGCAAAGAGGAGGAAATGCTTAGAGTGTTGCCTCTTAAACTACAGAGTTCTCAGCAAATGTTAGCTGTTAACATTACTTCACAGAAGCAGAGATTTAAAATCTTAAAATATTTGAATGGAGCTATAGAGGCAATTTAAAACTCTTTAACAGATTAAGAACTCTAGGTTGTAAAACTTCACAGTATAATAAATACTCTGAATCTCTGCAGAGTCTTTGCTCAAAGAAGCTCAATTTACTGTGTCATTGACCTGCAGATTTCAAGGACTTTTAAGATTCTCTTCCCTGTGATAAATGCATGAGTGTATTACTAAATTTTGGCAGATGGGTTTATATATACTTGTTTTTATTGGCACTAGGGAAGATTTTGGCCTCATATGAAAGCTGAATGATATAAACGCTCTTGGAAAAGAATTTAGTATGAGTGACTTGCTTAATATTACCTGGTCAGCAGTCAAATCTCACTTTCCTTGATATGTAGTTACTTGTTTTTATATATTAATCCAGAAATAAGAATATGTTGCCAGATTTGTTTGTTTTTAGCAAATGTAAATCGTCAGAGATTTCAACTGGAAGTAGCTTATTTTTTGTCTTCTTAAAGTTTTGGCCTTGAACTGTTATCGTTAACTTTTATGAAATGTGTTTATTATCATGGTCATCTATATTAAGTCGATTAAAAAAAAATTGTCACTATCTCTCTTCATTGGCCCTGATGTAAACTTTGCTGAGGTCATGATTTGGAAGGTACAAGGGTGGAGAATCTTCATGATCATTTGAAGGTATGAAAATGAGACATGTTTACCCCTTAAAGGAAAAAGTAATCTGTGGGTCTTGAGCACTTGTTGCCTAACCTTCTGTAATATAAAAACTCCACTGGCTGTTGACTATGTTATTATAAACTGGCCAACTCATTTGATCTCAATGAATGACTTTAAATGTTATTTGGATCTGGGTCACTGATTCTATAGGACGAGCCAAGGAATAATAGTCAGCAAACAGGTATTGAGTATATTTTTATGCCGGGAAATTCACTTGTTGGAATAGGTGGTAACTCACTTGGCTTATTTTAGATAGTTTAGTTACTAGGAAGGAGTTAGATCTACTCCCTTAGAGCATCAGAGACAAATATTACTTTCTTGTTTTATTTTCTTCACTAGTTGAGCCAAGGTTACTGTTTCTGGAGTGAGATTTAATGTGATTATTGAACTTGATTCTTGCTGCATATTCTTTTTAGCATCGGTTAGTATGTTCAATGTGGTTTAATATTTTTTTCAAGCTTTACACTCTCCTCTTAGAGGGATTTTGTGCCAGATCTATTTATGGCAAAGCAGGAAGGAATTTCTTTATATTTTGTGAATACCAGGTGATATAGGAAAAAGAATTGCTAAACTTTGTTTTGTTCAAGTGGTTCCAACAGCCACTAGATTTATAGATACGTGGGTTCAGTCAGCAGACAGGTATTGATTGTACATTATGTGCCAACCACTTATCAGTAATCACTTTCAAGAAGTACAGAATCTGCCTGTAGGTAGTCAGAAGTTACAGCCTAATATAACCAACACATGCAATGAAAGGTATATGCACAAGACATAGATGCTGTTGTAGATGGTTGTGTTAATTCAGGGTGAGGAAGAGAGTTGGCTTTTGTGGAGGAGATGAAAACTGAGGAAGGTTCAGCTGTGGGAAAGTTGGCTTTAAGAATTCTGGATTCGGACCTTCCCCGGTGGCACAATGGGTTGGAGTGCAGCACTGCAAGCTAGCTGCAGCTGTTTCAGTATGAGTTCGATCCCGGCCCGGAGGTGACCCCACATGGTGTGGCAGACCTCTCCTGGCCCACCCACTGTTCCCCTCAGCAGTGTACTTTGCCGATCTGCCTGTTCTGCTCCTCACTTTGTCTCTGGTGAATCCTCTCACTGCCCCTGTACCTCTGGCCTGTACCCCAGTTCTGTATGCATAAATACATAAATCTTAAAAAAAAAAATTCCGGATTCTTGGAGGGCATTTGTGGAAGATAGTGTCATTGAAGAGGCTACACTGTAGTGTAACAGTTAGCTTGGTCCTATTGGAATGAAATTGTGGAGGAAGTAATGTGGGGAATTAAAGGTAGAAAGAAAGGCTGTATTTACTGAAGGGTCCGGCATATTGTGCTTTGGAAGTTGGAGATATTTGTTTCTCCCTGACTCAATTGGAGAGATCTAAGCCAGGAGAATGAAAGGGTGGCATTTGATTAGCTCCCTCTGATAGTAATCTGAAGTTTGGATAGGAGAGAAGGAAAGTATAGGTAGGAATACTAGTTAGGAAGGTTTAAAGAAATTGAGGAGTAAATTTTCATTTAATGAACTTGTTTAATGGAACTGAGATGATGAAATAATGAATGAAGGCATGATGGAGAAAGGGAAGAAACAAGTTAATTAAAAAGGTGAACTGTGTGACTGAGAGGACCTAGAGACTGGGTAAGTAAGAGTGTTTGGGTTTAGGACTTGGGTTTTCTGATGCAGTCACCAAAAAGTAAATAAAATAAAAGTAAGTGAATTTTTAAAAACAGGTTGAGTTGAGATACTGGTTACACACCTAGATGGAGATAGCCAATTGGGTATAAAGATAAGAGCATTCAGCTGAGAGGCCAAGAAGAAAACTGTAGGTTTCAGAAACACCAGCATATAAAGTGATGATGAAGGGGAACATAAGGGAGTGAGAAAAAAAATAAAAGAAAACGACTGGTAGAACTATAAGAACACATCAGTAGTTGAAAGGTATTCTGAGGACATGGTTACAGGGGTAGAACAGAAAAAGTCGTAATTTAGAAATAAGGGGGGTCATAGGAACTGAGTGAAGAAATAATTTCATGAAGGAATAGGTTTCAGTAGTGTGGAGGGTCAGACGTCACACAGGGTTTTGAGGGACTTAAATTAGTAGGCCACATAGAGCTGTTTACCATCTAATTACCATTAGATGGTAATTTGCAACCTACTATCAAAACTTGTTTTGTGACTCAAGAAAGTCTTTTTATCTTTGCCACTTTAAAGTGGCAGTGGGCTTCATAGAGGGTTTCAGTTTTTCGGTGATCTCTGGGACCCTACAGTTCAGAGAAGGTGCTTTGAGGCCCATCACAGAGGTCAAGAGTAAAGTCAAATATTTATTGGGGGAGGGCATACAGGCACTCGTGATTAAACAAAAGACCTAAAGTAGCTTGGTTTTTAATTTATGTTATAAATTTGATTTTATAATTTCATTTGAAGAAACATCATGCAATATGAATACCTGAAAGTTACTGTGCACAGGAGTCATAACTTCCAAGTTTTAAAGTCTATGTAATTAGACTTTAGACTGGTGTTCTAAATTCCTTTGCTAGGTAAAGATCATCAGAGATGCTAACTTGGTTCATGATTTATATTTTTTTCAGGGTCAGCATTAGAGTCTTTATGTGATACCTTATTCTTGGAATTGAAAACTGAACTTTTACACAGTGATAATTCTATTTAATACTTTATTAACAAACTCTTTATGTTTTGAACTCCTACAGGTTCAGATTCAGAAGATCTTTTGGAAGAATTACTCTGCTGTTTGATGCAGTTAATTACCGACACTCCACTCTTGTAAGTTCTGGCTAAGTCAGGGTTTGTTTTCCTTGTATATTGTAGATGGTGGTTGCTCAAGAAGAGAGTTTGTGGGTTTTGGGGTACTTTTGTGTATTGATGAGAGGAAAATAAACTTTCATGGATTATTAAGCATATGGTTGGCAACAAATTAGAGTAATCTCTGCCATAAGATACCGTAGATTTCTATAAAGAAAGATTTATGAGAGCAGCAATTTCAATCTGACCCTTATTTGATAGACACAGCTAATTGTCTACCCATTGTTTGTACTTCCCTTCTTTCTTAATTTCTGACTTTATTTCTGTCTTTGCAGAGGTCAAGTGTCCATTTCTAGTCTTTCTTGAAGCTAGGTGTATGGTCAGTTGGAGAATATTTTCCAGCTAAGCTTTTGGGTGAAGCTCTGTCAGTCAACCTCAGTCCACATGAGGCCTGTCTTTCTGTTCGTGCTTGCTCTGTTTGCTGCTGTGTGGTGGCTAAGCCTTTTGAGTTGCATCGACCACATTGGCACCGAGAGCTGAGAGATTCATAGAAAATTCTACTTTGGCATCGTTTAGCTTCTGTACTAAAGTCATCAAACATCAGTCTCCTTTCCTCCTTCATCCCTAGAACTTTATGTGTTTACATGACTATAGCTGGTGTCCTAACATTACAGCATGTGCACGTCCTACATGATTCAAGTGTTTGTTACTTTAAAGTAGTTATTCTGAACTTCTCTTTAAAACTCTCTCTCGGAGCCTTTAAAGGCATTTTTTCCTTAATTGCTTTTCCCTACTTTGAAATTTAAATATTCCATACCCACAGTGTCTGCACTGTGGCACTATGGCGGGCTCATTGTAATATGACCTGTACACGTTTCACCCCTGAAGAACCAGTTTCTAACTCCCTTGGGGGTGATGCCACCTTTGTTGAGGATGTATATTTTAAAGGAATTACTTTTGAAATATAGAAGTGGTCTTTAAGATTTATTATCGCAGAATCTCAATCCAAATGGGACATCAATGGAAATAGGCTACTTTTCTGTGACCCCAAAAGGAAGAACAGGTGTTTGTGTGAAAAAGGGCTCCTGACCTCTGTTGTGCTCATAAGCCTAAGTACACAACAGAGTTGTAATGCAGATTGAGAAATGAGAACACCAAACCTCGTTATGATTTGGTCTAATGAGGTGTAACTTGAAGTTACGGCTGAGACAACCCAGGAATCACTGGTCGGTGAAGGGGGCAGAAGAAGAATTTCCATGTAAGTTGACTCTGACAGTCAGCATTTGCATGCCTGACTTCCTTGCATGCCTGCCTTGTAACAGCTCTCCAAAGTTTTGGGTGGCAGCACGCGCCTAACTTAGTCCTCAGGCACCTGGGAAGTGAGTGTGCCCCCGTGCTTTATTTTGGGCCTGGTGTGTGTAAGAAGACGTGAGCGTACAGAGCGTGTGCCTTTCGCATTTTGTCCTTCGCCTTTTTCTTCCTGGAATGTGGAGGCAGTGCTCAGGCCATCTTAAAATTACAATGACAGGTGCCACATGCAAGGAACTGTCGCCCATCAGTATGGGACTGATGTTGTTTTGGAGTTGTTAGACCTGTTCTGGCTCATTTATCTTTCATTTTCTTCTTACATGACAAAGTGAACCATTTAATTTGGTTAAGCTACTGAGGTTAGGTTTCTGACACACATCGGCCAACCTTGGGAAGAGAAGCACCTTTATTGTGTTCTGTTTATTTGTCATGATTTGTAGGTGCTTCATGTGTTGCTGATTTAATTTTTAAAATAATACCATCTCTATTACAGTCATGTCATAACCAGATAGCACCAATTTAGTATATATCTAAATTTCTGGGTGATTGAGAGTGGAAATAGTAAATCCCTTTAGGTAGAAAATAAACCCTGAACACAATGAATAGGCCAGCTTCTCAAACACTCTGGAGAAGCAAGCAGACAGTGTTGTAATATATCAAACATTTCAGTATTTTAATGTGTTTATACTTTTTAAATGAACTGAAAATGCACAGACAACCAGATGTCTTGTATTATGTATACTCAGCTTTAACCAGCTGCTGAAACAATTTCTTATGATTTAATGTTCTTGGAACTCCATCCCACAAGAAGGTTTGTCTTGGTAACGGTTTCTATGTGAACCCAAACTACTCTTCCAGTGTTTTATCTGCTATAACAGCGCAGGGTTAGGATCAGCTTACAATGGAAGGGGGAATATTAATATCAAAAACTAGTCGTGTTATCACACCTGTCTATCATCAGCCTCACTGTAAACTTGCCACTTTTCATGCTGGCAAGCCAGTGCGGCACCCACAGGTGAACAGCGAGAGGAATCTAATTTCAGTAGCCACTGTGGGCAATTCAAAACTAGCTCAAACATTTCTTACAAGGCTGTGAAATCATTGTATTGATATTGAAAGCAAGTGATTATCAACAGTATAGATATTTAGAAATCTATAAACAAGTTTTAAGTGTACATTATTTTTAGTAGGATAAACTGTAGTTGTTTAGAGAAAATCCCAGAATTTGTTCTGATTCATTTGTAAAGAAGATTGACTTTTAAGGATACTGCTTCTCAGATAGATTGAATTTCTTGATAATATATTAATCCTCTGAGATAGTAATCTTCCAGGTCAGATTAAAATCTTCCAGGAATCCTTTCTTAACTGTATTCCTTTCAGCATTTATATGTTAGAAATAAAGATTTAGTCATCATGGATTCATGAATTGAGCCTTTTCAGTGTATGTGGGATTGATTCCACTAGTATTGAAATAAATCTTCAAAAGTGAAACCTTGTCTTTCATTCTTCTGTGTGATCTCAAGGAAGCAAATGGAAAAGCAACATAGTAGATAAAGGGATTTTCCTCAGACACTGGCAATAGAAAGAACACAATTGGGCAGGCCAGAGCTGGAAGCACAGTGCTGATGGTTTGTGACACTGTGTTGATTCTGTGGGTTCTTTACACTTTCCTGTACAAGCTGAGTGAGAGCCCAGGTGACTTCACCGACTGGTGCAGCTTAGCTGGGGTCTTACCAGCACAAACATTTCTGTTGCAGGGGCCCAATACCTATGTTTTAGGGACTGATTGTGATATTTTATTGTGAAATAGGAGTTATCTTGAGAGCTTGAACTGGGTTTCCTTCTTTGACTTTCTTTTTATGTGGTTTCGTTGTTACTGTTTCAGTCAGTTATCTTGTTGACTTCATATGGTGATACCATTGTTAAGAGCAGGCCCTACCATTTTTCTCTCCTGCTACTACCCTGGACTGGGCCATGTGAAATCTGCTCAAAGTGAGCCTTTCCGTTGCCCCAGGCCTAACATATGGTCTCTTTCTCTGAGATCCATTTATGCGTTCTCCTTGATTAGCTTGAGAACTTGAAGACTGGGACTCCTGAATTCTCAGCCTGGCTCTGATTTGCAAATTTTTCACTTACAGTTTAAGAATCCTGATCTACTTTTTTTTTTCCCCATAAGTTATATATTGATAAAGATGAGATATTCACAGTTGATTAGGCAATTAATGCCTTTTACTGGGGAGTATGTATTTGACTAGTGTGACTTCTCCAGTGCAGAGGTCTGATACTACCTGCTGACCTTATCTATTCCTCTCATTTTGCTTCAGCTCTACTGGTATCCTGTCTCCAGGGCCTTTGCCTTTTCTACTTTTTCTGCCTTGACTATCTTCCCTTATATATCTTTCTGGTGCATATACTGACCTTCATATTTCTTCTGCCCAAAGGTCTGCTTCATGAAAACATCTGCTCTCACCCTCTCAGTCTGTCATTTTATCATGCTTTATTTTCTATCTTTACACTCATCGCTACTTTTCATGCTACCTGTTATTGTGCTAAGGAATATTCAGTTGCAAATGTAGTGGCTCAATTCCTTTACTATAAAACACTAGGTGTCTTATAGACATTATTTAAAAAGTGACTATTTTCTGGCCACAGTATAAGCTGTATCACAAAAATGTTGATATTATATGATATGTCTCAGATTGTTCATAAATGTTTAACTGGTTTTTGTCAAGAATAATAAGACACATGTATTACGTAGTAGAAAAAGACAGTTCTGAATTTTAAAGAAGGGCTGTGAATCTTAGCACAACAGCTCACTACTGATGTCACTTCAGCCTTAGTTTTTTCACTTTAAAATGGAAATCATAGATCAAAGGTCATAAAGCAGACATCTGAAGACATCTAGTTCAGTTGGAACCTTTTCATTTAATATATGATATCCCTGAAGTATAAAACAGTGAATTTTCTAAGGTCAATTTGTAGGTTCTTAGGTAACTCTTTAGCCCTGAAGAATTTGAATCTCTGCCATCAGAGATTTTTTGCTCTTATAAAAGCAAGTTTGCTACTTATGTCTTTGTTAGTTTCTTACCTTATTAATTCACATGTAGTAAAATATGTAATAACTGAAAATTTAAGTTCCACCAACAGTTAAGTGTTTGATTTTTTTCTTTTCAATTTTTTATGTCACTGTTTTATAGTCACTTCTTTTCAGTCATAATCCAAATTACACTTGTATATTTCAAACTAGTTTTTGATGCTGATGCAATTATTTTATTTTATTAACATTTATTTTATTTATGTGTACAAGAGCTGGAGTGTAGTCCAGAGGTACAGGATGTTGGGGGTGAGCGGGAAGATGACTCACCAAAGACAGAATGGGGAGCAGAACAGGCAGATTGACTAAAAAACACTTCTGAGAGGGACAGTGGGCAAGATGGGAGTTGTGCTGTGCCATGTGTGTCAGCTCCCTGGCCAAGGATCGAACTCATGCTGCAGTGGCTACAGATAGCTTCAGAGTGCTACAGCTTAACCCCTTGCATCACCAGGGAGCCCTGATATGCTTATTTCTTATATATGATGGAGTTGATAGGTAAAGGAGGTGCTAAAAGTAAGGAATGACAGATTTGAAACTATAAGTCAGATTTTTTACAGACACTTTGTTTCACTGCTAAGACTGCTATAAACGAAGAGTTGTGCCATGTCTCTGATTTTGT